AACGGGAAAAGCGAGACCGAGGAATTAATTCCAACAGGTTTTTTTGCTCGTACGCTTATTTGTTTTGTTTGTTTGTATGTTTATTTGTTCGTTTGTACGTTTGTTTTTATGTTTATTTGTTCGTTTGTACGTTTGTTTTTATGTTTATTTGTTTGTTTGTATGTTTGTATAAGTGTTTGTTTGTCTGCATTTTATTTTTTGGTTTGTTTGTCTCTTATTTTGTATAAGACAAGACAAGCACATAGCCACTCAGTTCACGCGGTGGGGAAAAGAGTAAGACAGACGTAGAAAGAAACGAACAGATCTCTAAGAAAATTCCCAAACCCATCTTCAGATTGCTCCGTTATAGATTCGAACCACGGCCATTCACTCACCCCGAAGTGGCGTCGGTGGTCTAATGGTTAGGCTCTCGGACACGCAACCATAAGGTCGAGGGTTCGAATCCCGCCAGGGGCCCGACGTTGTGTCCTTGGGAAAGGCACTTTACACAAATTTTCCTCTCTTCACTCATGTGGAAATGGGTACCCGGCTACAGACAGTGAACGATCTTGTCAGTTTGATAGTGTTTTTTAGTTTTAGTAGAGGTTTTACGGCGCTCGCAACTGCATAAGGTCGCATGAGCGCCAGAAGATTAGAGGTGTTACAAGAGAGTAACAAACATAAAAGAAGAAGGGGGAGATAAGGACGATAGATGGTTGATAGGAAAAAAGAAGCAAACCACACCAGAGCACCCGCCAACCACCCACCCGAGAATGTTTCTGAGTGTTCTCATAGGGTCTGCTGGGGTAATAATAGATGTAAAGCGCATAGAGTATGCTCTTGAGCATGGATATGCGCTATATAAATGCAATTATTATTATTTATCAAGTTCAGCATGATACCAACAATAATGAGCTGAAGATCTGACGGTACACTCGTGCTCTTTCTGTCACTTCCACCATTCTGTGGTGGCGAGGTACATCTTTTAGATTTAGTAAGAGTTTTTCGGCACTTGCAACACAATTAGGTCATATAAGTGTCGAAGATTAGGTGTTACAAGAGAGTAACAAACACCAAAAAAAAAAGAGGAGGAGCTTTTAGTTTAGTTTTAGGAGAGGTTTTACGGCGCTCGCAACTGCATAAGGTCATATGAGCGCCAAAAGATTAGAGCTGTTACAAGAGAGTAACAAACACCAAAAAAATGGAGGAGAGATAAGGACGATAGATGTTTGATAGTAGGAAAGAAGCAAACCACACAGGAGCACCCACCAAACAACCACAAAATAAATAAATAAATAGATTAACCAAAAACCAGCGACAACAAAACAACAAAAACAAAAACATCCCACTCCCTAAAAAAAACAACTTTAAAACAACAATTAAAAAAACACAAAACAAAAGCAGCAACCTCAAAAACAAAACGACAACATAAACAAAGAGAAGCCAGGGCAGAAGGAGGAAAAACCTAACGACGTTTGACCGTCCGTCCGTCCGTCCGTCCGTCCGTCCGTCTGTTTGTTTGTTTGACCGTCCGTCCGCCTGTGTGTTTGTTTGTTCGTCTGTTTGTTTGACCGTTTGTGTTGACGTCAAGAACCAAGGCGGAGCAGACGACAGCAGAGATGACCCCGGCTGGTCAAAACATTGATGTCTTGAGTTCAAATCACAGAGTGG